CACTGGCCCCAGAGGACCTCTGACTTGCCTGCACTCCAGGCTGCAGGAAGGAACAGCCACAGGAGAGTTCTGGAACCTTCCACTAGAAAGGTCTATTTAGAGCTGCACAGCACCTGGCTGTGGGCTCTGGAAAGCACTGGTGCGGCCACGAGATCGAGCCCAAAAGGCTGAGATACGAGTCCCAGAGCTCCTTCCATGCAACACATAAAGCGGCCTTCTCGGCAGGCCACACACACCAACTCACCTCACCCTTGCCACGTGGTGTGGGAAGTGCTGCTATCAGCGCCTCTTACAAATGGGGAAACTGAGGCACCGGGAGGGGTTTTTTGTTGTTGTTGTTGTTGTTTGTTTTGTTTTTTGTAATTTTTTTGAGCAAGTGATCTGAAGTTCACACAGCTAGTAAATGGCAGAGCCCAGAATCCAGCCCAGGCAGCCCACTTACCTGCCATGAGTGCTGACCGGACGGCCTCAGCTGTTAGAGACCCCAGCGGTATCAGCCTCACTCATTGCCCGGGGAGACTGAGCTGTGGAAAGCCTTGCGTCCACCGCACTAGGGAAATATTGGCTATTGTGGATGGGGTTCAGGAAGGTCTGTGGGTGATGTTTCCAGGGAGCAAGGGTGCCCTTTTCCCTTCTTGCACACCCAGGTGTGCACGCACCTCATGATTCACACCTGATGCCCTTCTGGGACCAGAGGCTGTCAGGCTCATGATGACTACACCCTGGTGCTTGGTGCTGAGTTCTCCCTGTCTCTGAAGGGAGTCTGCAGTAGTCACTGACTGATCCACACACACACACACCTTCCTCCCTCCCTCTCTTCTCCTGGACACACCTCCATCCAAGAACTTTCAGGCCGATCCAGGTTGATACTGTCCCTGTTAACGGGCAGCGACAGTTCCTTGGGCCACCCAGCCTCCATTCCTGTTCTGGGGCTTTAGGACACATCATCCTCCACATGTCCCCTGTAAGCCTGACCCCACTCCTGACTCCCAGAGCACAGGATTGGTTCATGGATGCCCATGTGACTCAGTCAGGCACAAACTGGGCTGGTATTGGTTGAGGAAGAGAAGCTCCCTCTTTCTCCCAGGGCCAGCGCTGCGGGCCGCCATCTTGCCCCAGTTGCCTGAGCAGAAGCCAGTGCAGAAGGAAGCAGAGCTGGGAAATCTGGAGACCAGATCTCAGTTGCACCATCAGGCCCAGGTTTCAGCCAGGCATGGCTATTTCAGTAAAGGGAACCACTGAGAGACACGCCCTCCCTTTGGTTTTCATGAAGCCATTTTGAGGTGCATCTTCTGTCACTTTTGGCCAGAAGATCTGACACAGCCCTTTGTCTCCTTGATCCTCTACCAGCTCCCCTCCCAAACAACCCCACACACCACCCTGTCCCCCAGCTGCTGCCCTGGACTCCTACAGGGTGGCAGGCCTGCTCTGCATCGGTCTGAGAGGTCCAGATTTGCCACCGGGCACCAAGACGGGAGTGCCCAGGGTGCTGCTCACTGCCCTCCTGATGCCCATCTGGCAGCAGCTAGGCTTGGCCACCCACCACCAGGAGCTGATTCTACAGTTCTCAGAGAGAGGGAGCAAGGACCGTGCCCCTGGCATGGCTGCTTACGGGCCAGTCCACCTTCACGCACCTTGACTTGGCCTGGGGTGCCCTGGCAGAGAGCCATGACCCCAGAACCCAAGGTGCTTAGCAGGCTGGGTCTTGCCCCTGCCTCGGGACCTTAATGAAGACAGATCTCCGTATTGATCCGGTGCTGGGACATCTACCCCAGACCCTCAGACTGTAAGTCAATAGCCTGCTGCTTTCTCTGCTCATGTTGTCAGGAGCACAAATAAATGTGCAAAGCTGTTCTATGTTCCAACACCCATCCTGTAGCCCCAAGGCCTGGAGCATGATTCACGGCCCTGGATGGTGAAGGGCGGGTGGGACACCACCCTCACAGCAGCTTTCTTAGCCTCATCAGGGCTAAAATCCACCCATTCTGGGAGCTGGCCTAGCTTAGCCCAACTCTGCCCAGTGTGTCAGATTCACAGGCAGTTCGGCACTGGGCCTCCAAAAGCAGACAGCAGGTTTCCGATCCTAGCTTGTCACTTCCCAGCATTAGGACCTTATTAATGGGCTTCCCTGGTCCTCAGCATCCTCATCTGTAAGACGGGACCTTAGTAGCATCTACCCAAGCACAAGACAAACCAAAGGGCTCCGGGAAATCATGGGGCCACCGGAAGTATAGGGGGGATGTTGGCTGTTATCAACGTGAGTATATGATGAGCAGACATCATCACCCTCAATTGCTATCCCTGGGCAGGGCCTCCAGAGTCCCTGCCTCCCGTAATCCACGCATGCCTTTCATCACACACATGCACACACACACACATGCCAAGTTACATCAGCATTCATTCCCAGTTTGTCTACAGCAGATTTTTCACCTGAAAATTCAGGACTGCTTGCTGGGTGCCTCTTTCTGGCCTGGCACATAGGGACCCTGCCCTTGTTCTGCTGTCAGAGACACATGTCTGCAAAGCCAAGCGAGTTTGGGAAAGGCAATTTGTTGTAAATTGGAATCCTAATGCATTCCAAATAGAGGTGATTTTCACCTTGTTGGCTGTGTGGACAGAACCGTGCCACTGCCTCCCTCCTTGGGGAGGGGAAGGGCAAGAACACGGCCGTTGTTCAGTGTTGGATGCTGGGTTTGAGTCCCTCACAGAATCACAGTCCGGAATCTCAGAGCTGAGAGGCAACTTTAAGGTCACGGTGTCCCCGGCAGCTCTCACGGAAGCTGCTCCGGGCAGCCTGATTCCCCTGGGCCCCAGCTCCTGAAGGCCTGGCCCAGGGCTCTTCATGCAGTTGATTTCCAGGTTCCTTGGGCTCCATCTGTTTGGGCCTGAGAATCTCCTGCCTAGTTCTTCTAATAGGGATGCTCAGAGCGGGACTCCACAGCCTGTGCTGTGTGCAGCCCTCTGTCTCATGGCCCATGGCACCTGCAGCACCTAGATCTGGGTCTCGTCCATCCGTGGTGACATTGGCCAAGACCAGAGCTGGAACATCCTTCCCCTCCCAGGAAGCCTGAGGCTCCAGAAAGCCCCTTTCCCTCAGGGAACTTCATCTGGGCTCTAAGTTCTCAGAATTCTCTTCCACAGGTGACTATCTGAATTTTGTCAACACCCTCGTGGCTGCAAAAGATCCCGAAGTGGGCACAGCAGGGAAGAAGCTATTGGAAGGAAGCATTTCCTGGGACCTGCCCCAAATGGGAGGCAGGGACTGCTGGACAAGGCAGCTCTACACCCTCTCCAGCCTCCCTCTCCTAGCACTGCTGAGCAGGATGTTGATTTTAAGAGAAGGAAGGCAGCTGCCCATTCCATTGGCAATTAAAAGGCCCTGGCAGCAGCACGGGGCTTAGGCTGAGAGCTGGGAAGAGGTTTAATTAATTGCTCTAGTCCTTGGGAAGCTCATCAGCTCAGCCAGGAGCTCCATCGATCCGTACTGTCACACCTGAGAGATCCTTGTCAGGAGAAGCCAGAGGGACACAGGGCTGAGGAGGGGACTGATCCCCTAGGCAGGAGAAGGGCCTGCTTTTACCCTCAGTGCCCCATAGCCCACCCACCAAATCACACCCACCCCTACGCACACATCTGGCACGCACAGATGCACCTTCCCATACAAAAGTCGAGGGCCTGTGGGCATGGGGATCCTACATTCCTGTTTGCCTGGGACACCTCCCCTTTTACCTGTTATTGTGATGTAATTATTAATAGCACCTTTCCTAGTTTAGAGGATAATTTGCCTGGTCACCTACTTGAGGGGAGCTTAGGAGCGTGACAGGGGTAGGCGCAGATAGGAGAGACGTTCCCGAGGTTGGAGACATCCGTCCTATGTGCTTTGTTCTCTGTCCAGATCCTGTATCCTGGGCAGAGGCGCCCTGGGCGTGGCTAGTGAAGATTGCTATATCCTCCTCAACTCAGATGAGGATTCCCCCGTGTCAAATTCAGGAACACGAATCATGTGATACTCTGCTTCAAAAACTCACAGTGTGGTGAAAACCCTTAGCTTTTAGGCAGGGTGAATGATTATATCTCCTGTTATAGATCACTAAAAGCTTTCCTATTGAGCTATCTGCATATCTGCTGCATGGTTATTGGTGTCCAGGGATCAGTTTTGAACTGTAAGTCCCCAGGGAAGATGTGGAAAGCATGCTGCATCTTGGATGTCAGCTCTGGATCTCGGCTCTCACGGCTGCCTGCTGGATTGGAGTAAGAAGAAGGATTCCAAGGCCGTGTCCCAGTTGAACCTGAATATCGCGATTACATCTGCTTGGGGCACAGGAGATGCATTGGTGAGATCCTTGACTGGCATCTGTCACGCTCGTCCCAGAGGGTGTCAGAAGTCCCAGAGTCTCTCTCTGCAGAAACCTGGCCTCATGCTGTGCTTGAATGAACGTCTGGGAATGACACTGGGAACACTCTGCATTGCCTACAGGGCTCTCTCTCTGCAACTGCCGTACAGTCTCACTGCAAAGAGGGCACGGTGTTGGCTGCCTGGCATTGGGAAGACAACTGGACAAGTCTGGGACCAAGAGATAGCTTGGGAGGGAAAGATACCTTCTCAGACCAGCTTCAGCCCTTGGAGAAACGGTCTGTCCCTGCCCAGTACCAAGCACAGCTGTGATACATCCAAAAGCATGCTTGGATATCCGGCCCCTCTCTGCCCCGCCTTTCTTCCATCAGGTCTCAGCCCCCAGCTTCTCCGGCAGGACAGCGGGGAGCCTGGCTCTCTCTCTTGCTCTCTGAACCTTACTCTAGCCTGCTTATTAAAAGAATTCCACCCGTAGACACAGAGGCAGCAATGCAGAAGCTTTCTCGGCTCCACAGTCAGAGCTGCCACTTCTGTGGCAGGTGTTTCTTTGAGGTCTGTTTGGTCTTTTCAGTCACAACCACCCACCTCAGGCAGGATGTTGTGTGTTCTAGGGTATCAGAGGAAGTATTTGCAAACAAGGCCCATCTGTTCAAATGAGAACCAGGCTCCTCTCCCAAGCCTCACAAGGTCGCAAAGCCTGCAACGTCAGACGCTCTGCTGAATCCTTTATTATCTATCTTTCCAGCCAGCAGCTGATGAGAGATTGCGTGTGTGCTGACTCGCAGCTCTTTCAAATCATGTTGATTCGCAACTCAGCTGATCCGGAAGGGGCCGGTCCTCCATGTTGGCCATTTCAGGTCAGCTCCATAAAGGATGCAGAGGGTGGATTTTCATGGTGGAAACACACAGCTGATATTCACAAAGCTAGTTCATCCAGGCACACGAGAACAGGTGAGCTTTGGGGGAGTGGGTGAGGTGCAGGTGGCAATTAAGTCGCTGAGGTGTGGTTCCCATGTTGTCAGTGAAAAGATTGACCTTCCTGATGATATGACTGAACCGTGGCTGATGTCACAATCACCCCAAAAACAATCACACTGGCTGAATTATGAAGGTGAAGAATTCCGGACCCCAGAAGCTCCATTTCACCAGTGACAGCAGCCAGTGAATAACCATGTCCACATACCACACTGAGCCTAGGCCTCCGGATCTCTCCATTTTTCCCTTGGACTTTGTCTCAATAGTCCTATATGATATCAAAATAGCTACCTAGGTTCAACCCAAATCCCTGACTCTGGAATATAGAGGTTTAAAAGGCTTAAAATGTTCCAGTGTGGAGGCAGATGAAAGAGACGGAGGGTCCCTCCCTTCAGTGACTGTGGGGCTGCTTCTTATAAAGGGCCGATTTTGAGCACTTTTCCTGAACTTGAGGCACATTCAAAGCTGATTCCAAGTAAAACTATTGAGCAGCTCCACTTTTAATATGTTGGTCCCACGGGTTCTTGGTACCTGTTGAACTGCCCTAAAAACAGTCCCTAAACCCACAGACATTTGGTGTCACTGGCCTTAGTTCGGGCTCACCCAAGCAGGTCCTGACAGGAGGATCCCATGCACCTTTAGAAGATACAGGACCACGGTCAGGGAGGTGGAAGGGGACAGGAAGGACACGCAGCCCTGGAGGAGCAGGGGACCAATCGAGCAGCTGGGGCTTGGTACTCCGGGGTCCTCCCGAGACCCGTAGAACAGATGCCTCCAAGTCCTCCCTGCTGAGGGCAAGGTAACTGGGGTACTGATACACCCGATCCCCTCAGCCACTAGCTGAGGGTGCTCTGGGGGAGGGTGTTCATTTCCCCTCTTCTGACAAAGCAAACTTTTTTTTTTTGCCCAGGCTGGAGTGCAGTGGCGCGATCTCCACTCACTGCAACCTCCGCCTTCCGGGTCCCGGTTCAAGCAATTCTACCTCAGCCTCCCAAGTAGCTAGGATTACAGGCATGAGCTACCATGCTCAGCTAATTTTTGTATTTTTTAGAAGAGACAGGGTTTCACCATGTTGGCCAGTCTGGTCTTGAACTCCTGACCTCATGATCCACCCGCCTCGGCCTCCCAAACTGCTGGGATTATAGGCATAAGCCACTGACAAAGCAAACTTTTACGGCTTCAGAAAAAGCCCTCAGGCAAAGAGATGCAGATACTGGCAGGTGGAGTCAACAGGAGACCATGGAAGCCACCAGACCCTGACTAGTGCCAGCCACAGGTGACCTTCCCGTCCTGGGCACAGGAGACAGGAAATTCAGCACCAGCCCTAGGCTTACGGCCTGCGGTGTCTGCCATCTCGGGGCCCAGGGCTGGTATTAGCCACACCAGTGGGTGGCTACTGCGGGTGACAGCCACATTGCCGCCTTCTCCCTCCTTGTGTGCCCTGTCCTATACTAGAAGCCCCAGGACAGAAACTTACACCAGCCTCTTTGCTCAGTCCCAATGCCTCTACCCTTTCCTGCTGCCACCTGGACCACAGAAGGCAGGGCCAGGCCCGGGGCAATCATATGCTCCTGGAAACATCTTGGAAGTCCTTAAGTCCATGACCAAAACACAAGTACCCTCTGGCTGGAGACAATCAGGAGCGATTACAAAAGGGCCGCTGTGTCCTTTTCTTTCTGGCAGCAGCTGTTTCTGTCATGTGGTCTGGAGAAGTCCAGATGTGTTTGCTCAGGGTGCGGAGCCAGGCCCTCCCAGCAGAGATGAAAGAACGGCAGCCCCAGCAGCTGGTACAGAAAAGAGGCTGCTGCAGATCAGACCCCGGGCGGGAGGTCTCACAAGCCACTGGGTGGGCCAGGACGTTTCTATGGAGAAGGAGCCAGCACCACGTGCAGCACAGCAAAGAGGCGGCAGCAGCCACAGGCCTCCCGGCCCGGGGCAGACGCTGCATCGCCTGACTCCTGTGCCCAGGGGAGGAAGGTCACCTCGGGCTCTGAGTGGCAGTGTGCTGTGGCTTGCGTTAGGCAGGAAACCCTGTGAGAATAGGCGTTTTCTCCCAGAGGCAACTGGACTTGAGCAAGAGGGTGTATGCAGAAAGCTTGGCTGCTGTGTTTGCAGCACAGAGGGCGGTGCAAATGGTCCATCGGCCGAGGAAGAAAGGCTGATGCAGGGGTCACAAAAAGACAGGGCGCATGACAGCACTGGTCAGGAACTGTGAGGGGTGGAGCATGGGAGAGTCCCCTAGGACGGCCGTCCAGTGTCACAGGTATGGGATAGAAGGGGCTTCCCCCAAACCTGTTCCTCTCCCAGGTTTCCCTGCCTCTATAAATGGCAACTCACTCCCCAGGCCTCAAGCTGAAAACCTTGGAATCATCCTCCACTCCTCCCTGTCTCCCACACCCTTCACTCTAAAAGCCCTACTTTAAAAAGGCGTCTACCATCCGGTCACCTCCAGCCACTTCCTCTGTTGCCACCACAATCTAAGCTGCCATGGTCTCTGCCTGTGTGTAAACATTTACTTGTCCTCCATCCTCTCTCAGCCGTTCTCTGGCTGAAGTGTCTCCCTGGCACTTCTCTGCACATGACCTGTTCCCTATGCACGTGCTCCTTCGACCATGGTCTCTTTCTCTTTCTCCCCAGTGAAATATGGACGTGGCCTCTTTGCCTCTCCTGCACGCCCAGTGCTTTGAAGAGTGCCTGGCACAGGGTAAGGAAGCATTTGTTGAATTCATTGCAGATGAAGACTCCAGACCCTGCAGGTATCACTCTGCTGTGGGTTTGTCTTGTCCCCTTGCTCAAGGGTCCCAAAGCAATTCCTAATATTTTCCCCCACGGGGGAGTGAGAAAGAAACAGCCTTATCCTAGAATGCTGGAAGAAATACTCAGCAATGGTAAGTAATATGGGAGTAGGAACACTGTCATTGCACTACCTCTGTCTAATCCTCAGGGGGTCTAGCCTACGGCTCTGCACTGTCTTTAATCCTCAGGAGGTCTAGCCTATGGCACTGCACTGTCTTTAATCCTCAGGAGGTCTAGCCTATGGCACTGCACTACCTCTGTCTAATCCTCAGGGGATCTAGCCTAAGGCACTGCACTATCTCTGTCTAATCCTCTTGAGGTCTAGCCTATGCCATTGTATATCTCTGTCTAATCCTCAGGGGGTCTAGCCTAGTGCAGCTACTCTGGACATTCGTTGAGTTGAATTAAGTGAACAACCTCCCTTCCTGGTAGCCCACGCTGGGCTCTGCCTCCTGCTTAGGGGCTCATCATCTGTGTTCTCTTAGCTCCCTGAATATTTTTCTAAATTAACGCATGTGACACTGTCTTAAGGATGACCCCTCTGAGGCTAGCAGTGAGACTTTGTTCTCGGTATCCCTGGGTCCATCTGGTATTTCTAAGTCCATGTTCTGACACATGACAGCTGCTCAGTAAGGTCAAATGGTGAATGAATGAATGAATGAATGAATGAAAAAGAAAAAGCAGGATGGTGAACCCCAAACCAAAGTTAGCTAAAACCTCCTGGAACCAGCAGGCAAGACTACCACCCAAAGATGGTAGGACTAGATGAGCCGTTGGAAAGACATGTCCCTGCCCAGGCTAATGGGAGAGGCAGACGCCCACATAAGGGATGCATGCAGATAGGTCCAGCGACCACATCAGCACACATGCTTAGCTGCAGGCAGCAGCTCAGAACCAGCAGGTGACAGGCATGCCAGAGCCATCCAGAAAGGCTCCCTGAGCCCTGGCAGGTCCAATCCAGGCAGAGCCCTAACTCTGCTCAATTGCAATCTGTGTTTATGGGCCCATAATCAAATGGAAACTGAAAGTTTCTCATGAGAATCATCTGTCAAAATTGTGCGGTGCCCAGGCCCAGCGCTGGGAGGCTGGGTTATAAATTCTGAGCTCTGCTCCGGCTCTGCTCCGTCTCTGGGGACTCGTGGGTCATTTTTCAACCCAGCATTAATCCGAGGAACTCGATCTTTGATCAAACACTATGTCTTACAGCCTGGGTATTTGGGATACTGATTGTCCACTGTGGGATCGGGAGTGGCGGACGGGGGCTAAGAGTAATCACGGGCGGAGAATCCTTGAGCCAAGCTCGCCTCTCCCACAAGCTGAGCCGCTTGCACAGCCACCTGCATCCCGACCCCACCTGGCAGCTGCCCTTCGCTCAGCGGACACCTCCAGGCTCCCACCACAGCCTGTGGTGACTACGGAACCCTGAACCAAAGGGCCTGTCACAGAATCACGTCTTTTAAAGACATGGTTTTCCTAATTTACAAAGGAGCTCAATGCAGTAAAAGTGGAAAACCAAAAAGCACAAAAAAAGAAAAATTGTTCATAATTCTATATCCTGGAGGAAAACTCTTTAACATTTTTGCTGCATAGATTTCTAGCCTTCTTCCTGTCTCTTCCTGGTCCTTTTTCTTTATAAACACACGTACTATTTTCTAACCTGCTTTCCTTGCCATTCATGGCCCCTCCCCTGAGACTAGTCCATTATGACCATTCTGCCACATCACTATCTTTCCCATAGCACGGTTGTTAATAGCCACATTCATTTTCTTGGTCAGTCCCTTTTATTGAGCAATTGGTTGGCTTCCATTTCTCCAATCGCATAGAAGATGCTGCAAAGAACATATTGTACATAGATCTTTGTACAAATCGGAGTATCTTCTTAAGATAAATTCGTAGGAGTAAAATTGTGCAGGGGGTCAAAGAATCTACATTTTTAAAAGTCATTTGACACTTTCTACACTGCGTCTCATTGTGCATTCATGTCGTTAGCAATAGCCAACTATGGGCCGGGTGTGGCAGCTCATGCCTGTAAACCTAGCACTTTGGGAGGCCGAGGCGGTCAGATCACTTGAGATCAGGAGTTTAAGACCAGCCTGGACAACATAGTGAAACCCCATCTCTAGTTAAAAATACAAAAAGTAGGGCCAGGCGCAGTGGCTCATGCCTGTAATCCCAGCACTTTGGGAGGCCGAGGTGGGAGGATCCCTTGAGGCCTGGAGTTTGAGACCAGCCTGGCCAACATGGTAAAACTTGTCTCAAAAAGAAAAGAAATAGCCAACTATTGGGGGGATAATTTTAACTGGTAACCACCTTTGAGTATGAGCAGAGTAAGCAAACTTCTTATCTGCCACTGACGGCCAGATGGTTCCTCCTGCTGCTTACACTGGTTCATAGTTCCACTTACACAGAACCACAGTTCATCTCCTCTGGATACAGCTCTGGAGACATGGTGTGGTTGAGAATAGAGGCTCCTCTTAGAAAATCAACTCTGAACCCCCAAACTCCTTCTGACTGTGTTGGGTCTTTAGAATTTATTGAAAAGGTAACACGGTGCCTGCTCTTGGCTTGTGAAGACTTTCACCTGAACACGGTTACTTAATTAGGTGACCTGGTGCGGGGAGGTCTGATGGAGTATGAAGGCAGGGAAGATGAGTCAGCTGGCTTAGAGGGGAAAGAACAGCAACCTAACAATGACAATTAGAAGGGTTAAGAAGAGCAATTAGATGAGAAAGGGCTTTGAATTCCCTGGGACCAGGGGAAACGAGAAGCTTCTTTTCTGCTGCTGAGCTCTATGAAAGCTTGCATGCACATGTGGACAATGAAAGCTTAGAGTCACCCCGGGTGGCCCATTTAAATGCACCTAAAAAGTCATGAGGCACAGGGAGGCAGTGCAGAGCCATTGCTATTCATCATCCATCCATTCCTTGTTCAAACTCTCAGAGGTGACCTCTAAGCCTCCCACGCAGAATGTTCCCTTGAAGAACACGCATCAGGGCACCCAGGGGCAGGGCCAACCTTTGGGAGAATTGTAAATAGAGAAAAAATTGTCTTTGGGGGTCTTTCCACCTCCCTGGCAGTGACTTTCTTCCCTGCTAGTCTCCCCATCCTTCCAAAGTCCAACACCAACTACCTGATGTTGTCCTCAACAGACAACTGGCGAGGCGAGAAGAACACAGGCTTTCAGCCAGAGTGGCCTGCATCTTACCTTGCTGTGCAATCTAAGGAAATTACTAAACCTTTCTGATCTTCTGTTTTTGCATCTGTACAATGGGGGTGGAAATGCTGGCTTGATTTCTTCTTGTTGTGAAGTGAGATGGCTGATATATTAAAAGCACGCGGCCGGGTGTGGTGATGCATTCCTGCAATCCCAGCACTCTGGGAGGCGGAGACGGGCAGATCACTTGAGGTCAGGACATTCGAGACCAGTTTCGCCAACATGGTGAAACCCTGTCTGTACTAAAAATACAAAAATATTAGCCGGGCGTGGTGGTGCATACCTGTAGTTCTAGATACTCAGGAGGCTGATGCATAAGAATCGTTTGAACCTGGAAGGCGGAGGTTTCAGTGAGCCAAGATCGAGCCACTGCACTCTGACCTGGATGACAAAGTGAGATCCTGTCTTAAATAAAATAACATTTTTAAAAAGTACCCAGCACACAATTTACACATAACAGACACTCACTGAATATTATTTACCATGTTTTTCATCTCAGCATCCAGGGATGCTGTTCCCGGGCGGGCCGCGAACCCTGTGCTGTGACCCTGGCTCGGGCCTGTGTGCTCTGATCCCTTTGCAAGAGACAAGATCAGTTATGTGATGCCAAATGCTGGTGATCCTTCAGGAATTTAAGGAAATAATGATGGATTTAACTACGAAATTGTTCTTGACATCATTGTTTCCAATCCCCGAGAAGCAGATGCGATCTAAATAGCAAATGCAAGAGTAAATAAAATAGAAAACGTCGCTATCATAAAACACTGCCAATATCAATTTTGGTCAATCTGTGAGGTTAAAAAATGACAATCCAATAATCTTTTTATTGGCTCTCTTTCTTTCAGTGTACGCTGCTTACCCTCATTGCGGGTACATCTTTATATTTGGTTATTTTAATTTTTTCTTACGGGTTATCTGAATGCTTCGTGAGTTAATGAATTGGCTTCTTGTCTGTGACTGGTGCTGTGCATATGACTTCCCATTTGCCCCTTGTCTTTTGACCTCCATAGTCTTTCGTCTTTATTTCACCCACACGGATGCTTTCCTTTTTCTGAACTAGATTGATCGATCCTTTCCTGTGTGGCTTCTGGGTTTAGTTTCTCACTTTGGAAACTGGTTTCCAACTGCAGCATTGTAAATATATTTACCCAAATGTCTTCAAACACTTTCATTGCTTCATTTTTTTCCTTTAACATTTTAATCCTTGACCCATCGGGGATATATTTGGGTGTAAGAAGTTAGGTGAGGATCCCGCTTTATTACAGTTTTTCAAAGGGTTGGCCAGTGATTCTGACAGTATTTACTGAATAATCCCCCTTTCAGACAAACCATTTCAATAATTCCTTTTGTGAGGGGGTCACAGAACCCTTTGAGAATCTGATGAAAGCTACAGATCTTCTCCCCAGGAAAAAAATGTGTGCCTGTAACACACACTAAATTTCACAAACAATTCCAGCAGGACACACAGACCTTCAAGAGCACATCCGTTGACTCCCAAGAGGTCTGTAATCTCCAGTTAAGAACCCCCTCCTTTATGTGGAAGAAACAGTTCTTAAATAGTGGGATTCAGCCTCCAACACAGATCAGTGAGGATTCATCTTGTAGTGGAAAATGTGCTAAAAACAGTCCCACAACCTGCCCAAGGCAGAAGACTCCAGTTTACCATTAAGGCTCTTGGGTACCCCAGGCTTCCACCATCTCATGTCCTGGGAGCTTAAAACCTTCCACTCACCATTCTGCTGGTTCGGTGTACCCAACAGATAGCATGTTAACCTGTCTCCGGAGTGCAAGTAGCCCTCATTGAACAACTCGCTCCTGAACAAAGGGGGCAGGTACAGGTACATTGCTTCATGTGACTCAGTTTCCCTTGATTTGCAGCCCCAAGCTTTTTCTTGAGACAGGGTCTTGCTCTGTCCCCAGGCTGGAGGGGAGTGATGCCATCATAGTTCACTGCAGCCTCGAACTCCTGGACTCAAGCAATCCTCCCTCCTCAACCTCCCGAAGCACTGGGATTACAGTCATGAGCCACCGTGGCCAGCCAGCAGCCAATTTCAGACTCCATTTTCCGCCCCAGATTTGCCTACTCCTCCTGAGATTTGATCTTTTGGGTCTTGCATGTCCATTCTCACGCCCTCACCCTCAATTCCTTCCCATGCATGAAAGCCAGCACTGGTCTTTTGGCTTTCTGGCCCTTTGAGAAATAAAGGTTTGAGCTGAGCTGACCCCCTCACACCCTCTTGACTTCTGACTTGCAAACAGCAGCAGCTCTGACCTGGCCACAGAGCTCGTCTGGATGGGCCTTCCTCTGCTGGGATCCCCCAGTGCTACCCCATTCCTCTGGCTCAAAGGAGTGTCAAAATTCTTACCTGGGAACTCGAGTCAGAAATTCTTGGGGAGGCACTCAGCAACGTGGGTTTTCACAAGCACCTCAGGGAGGACAGCTACGCCCTTTGTGGAGGGCCAGCTACGCAAAATGGAAATGTGGAGCCCGTTATTCAAAAAATATTAAGAATCTCAGGATGGCAACAGCAGGCCACCAAACCCTTCTGACTGTGGGGTCTTTGAGTGTGGGGTCTTTCTGAGTGTGGGGTCTCTCTGGGTAGGGTGTTTCTGAGTGTGGGGGTCTTTCTGAGTGTGGGGGTCTTTCTGAGTGTGGGGGTCTTTGTGTGTATGGGGTCTGTCTGAGTGCGGGGGTCTTTCTGGATCTGGAACCCGTGAGACCGTCCAGGTCGCCCTTGCTGACACCGATGAGCAGTTGAGTTTGAGACTTGCTGCTGCAGCCAGCGCTGACACTCACTGACCCAGGCGTTTCTCACTGGCTCCAGGAACGGTTCTGGGCCTTGGCAGGGTTCACCTTCTCACCACCCCAGATCCGCTATGCACGGGCTGCCATCCATCACAGGGACCTGAGTGACCTCCGGAAGTCTCTCCTCCTGGTTCTTCCCTCCTGGTTCTGGCCCATTCAGGCACACATTAACACTCTAGTTAGCGTCTCTGTTGCTATGAGTACTTTGTTCTGACCTCAACCAGATAAAAGAAAATCTCACATCCATATTATTGTGAGGATAAAAGTTTCTCACGCACACATTCACATATTCACACACACACACATTCACACGCACACAGACACATTCACACTCATACACTCACATACACATACACTCCGACACACACACTCAAACACTGACACACACTCTCTCACACACACAGTTTTCCCAAGTGCTCCTCAGCTCCTGACCCCCGCATGTGCACACACACACACACATTCTCCAACCCCCACATGTGCACACACACACACACACACACACATTCTCCAACCCCTGCATGTGCGCACACACACATACATTCTCTGACCCCTGCATGTGCACACACACACATTCTCTGACCCCCGCATGTGCACACACACACTCTCCAACCCCCACATGTGCACACACACACATTCTCTGACCCCCGCATGTGCACACACACACACACACACACACACACGCACATTCAAAGAGGACCCTGCCTCGGCTTTGGCCTGGCCTGACCAGGGTGACAGCATGGTGTGCAGCAGCCCCTCTACTTGTCCTGGAAGCATTGGGCCCTGGCAGGCTGGTGGGAGCCAGGGACCTGAGGCTGGAGCCCGAACCTCTCCTGGTTTCCCACTCTCCACAAGCTTCACCTGTCAGATGTCCAGACGTGACATCTGTTCCCAGCCCAGAGGCCTCTGCTACCCCTGACCGCGCACTGCACCTGCACTCAGTGGAGAGGCGAGTGTATCAGGCAGCATCCACTCAGAGGAGGGGAAAGGCAGCGTCCTGCGGGGTGTTCTGTCCAGGTAGCCTCTGCCCCTGCCCTCTATGCTCATGTCACCAACATTAATCCAGCAGCTACCAAGCTCCAGTCACTGTGCAGAGCACTGGGGGTCACAAGGTATTAAAACCTAGTCTCTGCCCCTCAGCAGCTGTAGCTCCTGGAGATGGAGAGAGCTGTCGCAGTGACACATTGCAACCAGCTCATGCCAGTTTGTACCAGCTCATGAGAACCTATGGCTAAATTTTCAAGAATATTACAGGCCCATCATCAAAGCATCAGTAGTTTGAAATGATCATCCTTGCAATAGTTACACCATGGAAATTGGCAAATACCCCAAATCAAGCCCTTTCGCAGAGGACCACTGCAGTTGTGTGATGCTGGCTGAGTGACCCATCCTCTCCAAGACCTCCTTTTTGTATGTTTAAACAGGATAATAATTGCACCTCCTTCATTGACTACTGTGAGGATGAAACGAGATCATCCACAGCATGCTCCCCATTCACTGCCTGGCATAGAGAGAGTGCCCAACAGCTCGTAACTGCGGTCATTTTTAGAACGTCATGATGTTGTTATGCAAATAAGTAACTCCTTAGTGTGCTTGGTATAGCTACAGTGCTAGAGAAGCATAGATGAGGAAGTGGTTAACTCTGCATGGGGAACAGAGCAGCAGTTCAGGAAGGCCTTGAACCAAGCCCTAAAGAATAAGTTGGATGTGACCAAGTAGATCAGGTAGACAAGCTGGGCCAGGAAAAGAGAGGTTGTCCAAGAAGAAGGAATGGGGTGTGCAAAGGTGGGGAGGTATCGGGGGCTTACAGAACAGTCTGAAACGACAGGCCTACGGGGCTAGCAAGGGAGTCACACGGCGCACATGCTGTCAGACCCTTGGGAAACCACAACGTCAGCAGGTATTCTCCCTAAACCCATACCCTGCCCACTTTGCAGAGGAGCATATCCAAGCTGGGAGGGTCTACAGTCTTTGAATCACAGAGCAGGTCAGCGGCTGAGAAGAGCTGAGCCCAAGTCTGTTCTGCCCGACTCTAGGACAGAACAGGGAGAGGACTCTGTTTCACACCAGGCTCCAGGTTGGGCCACCCCTCCAAAGATGGTGGCAACTGTCTCCAGGAATCCCCAGCAGACAGAGTTCAAGGAGGGGTGGCTGCTGACCTCCAGCACCAAGCCTCACAGTACCAGGAGCATTGGCCACTCCCAAGATTCCAAGATTCTCAGATGTATGTCCCATTGTCCCTGAGGCTTCCACAGCTGGTCCTCACTATCCCATTCCCTTCTAGTCCTTTCCACGTGAGAGTGGCCAGGGCTCAGTGGCATGCTCACCTCCTCACTGGACACACACGTTTATTCTGCATCCCTCTGATGGCTGGCATGGGATGACACAGCCACTCGGGGAATGACTGAAGAGATGAGTCATAAGAGAGATATTCTCATTAGTCTGTTCTTCACCTCCACGGCCTCCCCGGCTGTTCATCCCTCCAGCGGTCATCCCTTGCTAGCAAATTCATGTCATTCCTCTGTTGGCCAGAAGGGGTCACTGCTTCCATGTGCCCCTAAACTTCCCGGGTAACGGGATCCTCTGCGCCCCACCTCCAGCGGCGGAGCAGACTTCTCGGTCCTCCACAACCCACCAACGGCTGTGTCACCTTCAGAGAGGCTTGCTGGCTGCTGAGTTCCAGCAAGCGAGGATGACGGACAAGGCCGCGTGCCAGCAATGTTCTCATCGGGTAAGCCAACCAGCTGCCCTTTGCCGGGCAGTGGTCAAGGTCTGCAGATGGAGCTTGCCCATTGTTACGGCTATTTAAAATCATGTTTAAATAATATGATGCCATCATCTCTAATGCCATGGTGATCACCACTTAACACAGGCGGGGGAGAGGAGGCAGGCTCGGCCTCTTTCGTACACCTTTGCTATTCTAAGGACAGCCAAAACCAAGACAGGTTGAAATCAGCTGCTTTTCTTCTGCTGAAGAGACAGGTGTGGGTCAGGATGTGTAAATTACTGGCAAGCAGTCAACAGTCCCCACCCCTGTGCCTGTCGAAGGTGTCACTCATGGAGCCCAGTGCCCTCCCCCGGGAGCCCAGAGGTGGACCCACATCTGGAGTCTGCAGGAACACAGAACTTCTGGAGTCACTGCTGTTTACTCATGCTAGAATGTATAATGTCTAGATTAGCCTTTCTGGCCTAAAAAAAATTGTGGAAAAGTGGTTCTTAGATCATGAATCTGGGCCTAATGCACGGGAAGTAGATCCTAATCTGTGCAGAACACACCAAGAGCTACTGAGGTGCTGGAGTTGACGGTGTGATGCTGTGCAAATCACATCCCATTTTACATGAGATTCAGGTATTGATGGTAGGATAATAAGTGCCAATAGACTCTGCAAAAATTTGGAGAACGACAGAATCATCAAGGAAATTATATGTGCTAATGTGTTCTCTCTGCAAATTGAGGAAGCACAGTCATCAGCCCATTAACCTGTAGAACAAACTCCTCCCTGAGTCTGTTCAGAGCAGAAAGTAGGAGCTACAGCATTGAGGGAAAGAGCCCGGAATTTGAAGTCAGGAGATAGGATTCTGGTCCAAGCCCTGACAGGAATAACACAAGACCTTGGGCAAGATGCTTAACATCTGTGCCTCAGTTTCCTCAACTGTAAAATGGAGACCACTGTCTACTCTGCTTGGCTACTGTGCAAATTAAAAGCAATAACAGAAGCAAACGTGCTAAGTCCTGAATCCTGCTTCTTGGACCTGGCTGAGATGGGGAAGTGACCCCGAGCTGAAGCAGAGAAGCCATGCCATTTCCCAGTGGGCAGCAAGGCTGACCGGGACCCTGGCACTGTCCACTTCCTCTAGAGAGAGGTTGGGGCTATTCAGAGAGAGCCCCATCCGTCTCCTCAGCCCTTCCATCCTCGTACTTCCTTGCTTTTCTTCCTCCACTCTTTCAGTTCCCTCCCCCAACCTCTAAAGACAGAAGAGTCTGCAGTTCGTATCAGATCAGTACATGCTCATCTGGGCAAGTGGGAGCCAGCACACACACACTGCCTGGGATCTGGGACACTGGTGGTGCCTACAGCAGAGGGCCAGGGCTGGCCCGTGGCTACACAGCACAGAACTGATGGGGAGGAACAAAAGGACACTTTTCCAGGGACAAAGGTGGAGTTGAGAACAAAATAGCGAGTCGGAGGATGTTTCAATGCCAACGGACAGGCAGAGAACCCAGTGAAAGGCAATGGGCTGCTGGGCTAGCAGCCAGTGCTGGTGAGAAGCAGAGGCCAGGCTCAAATAGGTGGGTGGAGAGAGCTGGATGCAGGGTAGACTTAAGGGAGCCCTGCAGGGGTGGTGTAGCATCCCAGGCCTCCAGGCATGAACAGCAATGGACGGGAGCAGGTACCAGAATCTCAGTGATGGCAGCTGCAGAAGAGGATAGCTTAGGCAGAGGGTCGTGGACAACCCCAGCACCAGCACCTGCAAGGAGGGACCAGGGAAACCAAGACCCCGGCTCCCTCTCCTCTTGCCTTCTGTTCTCCAGCCATGCTACCCACTGGTCTCTCCCAACTGAAGCCAGAAGGCAAAGCAATCCCTTGAACGCCTCTATAAAAATCAGCCAGCCAGGCGCGGTAGCTCACACCTATAATCCCAGCACTTTGGGAGGCGGAGGCAGTGGACTACCTGAGGTCAGGAGTTCGAGACCAGCCTGATCAACATAGTGAAACCCCTTCTCTACTAAAAATACAAAAAATTAGCCAGGTAAGGGGCGCCTGTAATCCCAGCTACTTGGGAGGCTGGGGCAGGAAAATCACTTGAACCTGGGAGGTGGAGGTTGTGGTGAGCTGAGATCGTACCACTGCACCACTCCATCCTGGGTGACAGAGCAAGACTCCATTTTAAAAATAAAAAGAAATAAAATCAGCCCCTTGGAGCACAGAGAGAGGTGGAGGAGGGTGAGAGGAGACCTGGGGAAGTAGCCAGAAATTAGCACTGCCAGGAACCAGAGAAATGCCAAGAGGCAGCAAGCAGGGTTGGGGCAGCTGGGAGGTAAGGATCCAAGAGAATTGCAAACGCTGAGAAAATAGGAAAAGGATGTTCTGTCGAGGAGTAGTGGGAGCGTATGAAAAACGGATTCCCAGTGTCCCTTGTGATAAGGGAGACACAGAGCATATGCACCACCTGGGGCCAGTGGCACCTGAGGAGAAACCTTTCAGCACTTCTGCAATAGATTTTACTTCCAGATACGATGAAATGTGGGGACAGAATGGCCATTGGATATGGCTGTTTGCTGTCAAGATGTTTGGAGCAATGGCAACCCTTTTGCAACCATGAGGAAATCAGTGTCACACTGAGAATGGCAGAGCTTTATAAAGACGAAAGAATTGGAGTCTCTGATAAAATCACTGGATCATTACATCAGCTCTGGAGCCACCTTGACTCCAGGCTTGTTAGGGGATAGAATAAATATCCTTGTGTTTTAGGCTTCAGACATGCCGTTCCAAGTATCTTGGCTTAAATGGATGATCCCAGGACCCGGCAGAATGCCTGACTTGTAGTAGACATTCAATAAATATTGATTGATGAATTGATAAAGTAATGATTGGATGGATCCATAACAAGTGAGTGAATGCCAGGTGTCATGGAACCTTTTCTCTCCCCCTTTGCTGATAGAGAGCTCAGAGAAACCTCATCTTCCTGTGGGAAGAGAAGGGCGACGGCTCCTGAGCGCCTTTGAGGACGAGCACAGCCATGCTGCTACACACATACAGATGACTCATAAAGACGTATTTTCACCCCCTTCAAATGGTGATGTTCCTGTAATAAAGAATTTAATAACCTGCTGTGCCTGTGTGGAGAGAAACTCATTTGTTTAATAGGCAGCAGTTTGGCTTTGTCATGTTCATTTAGTTTTTAATGACACACAGTTGTGCCAATATTGATTTTAGCTTATAGGGACTCAAAAAATTTACTGTCTAGATGGATTCAAGATGCAACCGTTTTATTTTGCCTGCTTTGAAGACACACAGCCCCCAGCCCTGGCCGGAGAGGAGCTCGGGAGGTCGGGTGGAGAACCGAGGACCCCTTGCTGTCTCCGTCCCTCCTTTCTGCTCCCTTCCTGCCTTACCTCTGGCCCTCATCAGATGGGAGCAAGGCGGCTGCTGTGGAAGGTGCTGTGTTTTTCATCTTGGAAAGCAGAACAGGACTGTATCAAGGAAACAAGAATTAATTTTCTGGGCAAACTTTCAGCAATGAGTTTTGTGTGTGCGTGTGTGTGCCTGTGTATTTGTGGGTGTCTGTGTGTGTGTGTGTGTGCGTGTGCATTTGTGTGCATTTGTGTATGTGTGTGTGTGTAGGTGTCTGTGTGTGTGTGTGTGTGTGCGTGTGCATTTGTGTGTTTGTGTGTGTGGGTGTGTGTGCATTTTTGTGTTTGTGGTTGTGTGTTTGTAGGTGTGTCTGTGTTTGTGGGTGTGGGTGTTTGTGTGTGTGTGCATTTGTGTGTTTGTGGGTGTGTGTGTGTTTGTGGGTGTTTGTGTGTGTCTGTGTGTATTTGTGGGTGTGTCTATGTGTGTTTGTGGGTGTGGGTATTTGTGTGTGCATGTGTGTGTGCATTTGTGTGTTTGTGGGTGTGGGTGTTTGTGTGTATGTGCATGTGTGTCTGTGTGTGTTTGTTGGTATGTTTGCATGTGTGTGCAAGGGCTTCCCTGTGTGCCCACTCCAGAGCAAGCCCAAAGCATGCATCCCAGGACAGGAACAGGCCCTGCCGGTTATCCCGAGTGACTTCAAATATCATTTGGACCCACTGGACTGGAGCTCCTCTCCTTCACATTACTTATGATTTTGTTTTGTTTTTCTATTTTTAACTAGGGAATGTATACACACAGCAAAAGGGATTACCGAGACGAGCTGAACCTACTCTGTTTTCTAAACAGTCAATCTGAGCATAAATTCATACAGCAAGCCCTTGGTATTTCTGGGGTTGACATTTGTCATCTTAACTGTGTGTAGTTTCAATTATTCAAGAACAGCACTGAAGAATTGAGTGGAACAATAATAGTCAGCATTTATTCAGCACATACTAGGTGCCAGGTGAATAGGATAAGCCAACTTACAGGAATGATCTTGTTCATCTCTGCGTCACCCCTTGAAGGGAGGTAGGTGGGTATTTCACCTTCAGTTTAGAGGACACTTCTGCTTGGAGAGGTAAGATAACTGGTCCAAGGTCCCAGGGACAGTAAATGACCTCAAACCCGTGAGTACCATTGGTCTCTGCATTTTTTTTTTTTAGATGGAGTCTCACTCTGCACTCAGGCTGGAGTGCAGAGGTGTGATCTCAGCTCATTGCATCCTCCACCTCCCAAGTTCAAGCCTTAGCCTCCCGATTAGCTGGGACTACAGGCGCATGCCACCACGCCCGAATAATGTTTTGTATTTTTAGTAAAGACAGAGTTTCGCCGTGTTATCCAGGATGGTCTTGACCTCCTGACCTCGTGATCAGCCTTCCTCGGCCTCCCAAAGCGCTGGGATTATAGGCGTGAGCTACCACACCCAGCCTGGTCTCTGCATTTTCAATTGTGCAGCATTCACGTCTTAAGTGAATGCTGGAAACCAGCGTCTGGAGTGCCCCGCTTTCCTGGAGAGTCAGCTTAGCTGACCACGCACCATCTGCATCTGGGGAGGAGTGCGTGCCAGGAGGGGCTCAGCTCAGTGTCCAGCCGCGGTCACGTGCGTAACATTCATTTCTCCACTGCAGTTTGGCACAGACAGACTTACCCCAGGGAGCCAGGGGACATTTGCTCAGTGGCTGCCTTTCCTAACCCTGTGCTGCCGTTAAAATCTGGCTAGCATTGGGGGAAAAGACACAGCTCTGTAGACAGTGCGTTATGATAATGATTCATATTAAATCTAATCTCATGTCATTGGCCCATTTAATCTATTTATGTAAGTTTTAGCGAGTGCTTTGATCGTGATGGGAAAGTCATTGAGGATAGATTCTTTGATTCATGGGATTTGAAAGAACCTGTAAATCATCCATACAAGTCCAGTCCCCAGAGAGGTGAAAGGACCCACCCAAGGTCATGCAATTCAATTTGAAGTTGTGGCCTTTCCTAGGAAAGAGAGGCACTGGGACCCTCAGCGGGAGAGCAGCCCCTGTCAGAACCTTGGTCCTATTGGGTGTTGGTTTTCAGCTGTACCATTGCTCCTTCGAGTGCCATTTCCAGATGAGTGCTCCCACGCTCATTAACCAGACCCCCTGACACCCACGACGGCGGCTTCCATCACCCTTCTTATAAATGCCCAGATCCTCAGCACAGCATGCAAGGTGGTCCTGCAGGGCCTGGGCCCTGTGTTCCTCTCTGGCCTCTCCTGCTCCCCACCCTGCAACTTTGCTGGCCTTCTATCAGCATCTCCTTCCTGCCCCAGGACCTTTGCTTGTACCGCTCACCTCCTGTGAAATTCCTGCTTTTGCCTGAGATCTCAATCATCAGGCCTTCCTCGGGGCTCTCTCCCCAGCCTCTCTGGGCCAATGCACTCTCCTAGCTCTACAGAGCTCTTCAATATTGCTCTGACTTTGAGTATAATTTGATGTTGGAGGGTTAAATATCCATCTTCCACCTGGACCATAAATTCTTGGACAGCATGGTTCAGTCACCTATTGCTGTGTAGCAAATGACCCCCACACTCAATGCTTTAAAACAACTATTGTATTTTGCTCATGATTTTGTGGGGCAGGGATTTGCGAAAGGCTCAGCTGGGCACTTGGAGCTCCTCCACGGTTGCAGTCTGATGTCAGCCGGGCTGTGGTCATCTGAAGGCACAATTTTCAAGATGGGGAAGATGGGGCACTCATTGTCCTGGAAATCATTGCTGCCAGGCAGGAGCCCAGGTGACCAGGGCACGTGCATGTGACCTCCCCAGCATGCCAGTCTCAGGTACTCAAACTTCTTACAGCCCCCAAAGTGAGCTGCGTGGCTTCTTCTAAGCTGACTTTGAAAGTCACACAGTGTCACATGACTTCAGCTGCATTCTACTAGTCATAAACAAGTCACTAAGGCAGGCTCAGGTTCCAGGAGAAGGCCATAGACACCTCCCTTGATGTGAGAGTGGCATGACCACATTGCAAAGTGTATGTGGGATAAGAACTATTTTTGCAGTCGTCTTTGGTAAATGCAACCTGCTGCACAGCAGGAAGAATGCTGTCCTTTCTTCTTGCATTGAATCCCTAGTACCCAGCACAAAAATTCAATAATGATTGGATAAGTAAGTAGCTAGATGGATAGATGAATAAATATGCATAGGTACATAGAATCAGGAAGAAAAAGTAGGAAGAAGGAAAGGAAGGAAGGAAGGAAGGAAGGAAGGAAGGAAGGAAGGAAGGGTGGGAGGGAAGGAAGGAAGGAGGGAGGGAGGGAGGGAGGGATGGAAGGAAGGGGGAGGGAGGGAGGGGGGTGGGAGGGAAGGAAGGAGGGAGGGAGGGAGGGAGAGAGGGAGGGATGGAAGGAGGGAGGGAAGGAAGGAAGGAAAGAAGGAAGGCAGGAGGGAAGGAAGGAAGGAGGGAGGGAGGGAGGGAAGGAAGGAAGGAGGGAGGGAGAGAGGGAGGAGGGAAGGAAGGAAGGAAAGAAGGAAGGAAGGAAGGAAAGACTAGACTGGAATTATTTAAGCGTTCTGATTTCACACCCGACATGGGAAAGAGGCACCGTATTTTATGCTGTGCCATGCAGCCAGGGGCACTCGGGGCAGAGATGACGTTTATGTTCCTGACGCCGATGATTCAATAATGTGGACTTCTGTGATTTATCCCCCTTGGTGGGTGGCAGGTTAATAAAACTTCAGTCAACTTGGTAATTGCCCTTCCTGGTTCTCATGACAGGGTGACACACATGCAGGAATCTTGAATTCAGCCCGGCACAGGCAGCACCTCACCTGGAGAGAGCGAGAGCTCTGCCTCTCCCAGGCCTGCGCGGTCATTCCCAATGCTTCCAGAGGCCCGGGCACATTAGCCATGGTGTGGCCAGCAGAGGCAGCTCCTGCCAGTCTCACTGCTCAGCCTGGCAGAGCCCCTCCAGTGGCCAGGCATCCAGCAGGCACAGCGCTCAAGTGACCGGGAGCACCAGGGGCAGTAAGCCCACAGAGCCTGCTTGTCTGATGGGCCGACAACACCACAGGCTTGCAGTGGACGGACCCACGCCCATCTGTGCCTCCCACTGTTAGCGACCCCCACCAGCCCCTGAGTCCCTCAGCCCTGGCATTGTATGACCATTTACAGAAAACCACCCTGAATCCATTAACAGAGTGGAACGCCATTGTGATTCTGATTCCTTGAAACTCCCAACAGGCAGGAATATTCAGGAGTGTCCATAGCTGAGTGTTATTCTTTAAAAAGGTCCCCCATCTGGAAAAGGGGATACAGGCACACCTCATTTCATTGTGCTTTGCTTGATCGAGCTTTGCAGATAACTGCGTTTTTACAAATTGAAGGTTTGTGGCAACCCTGCATCAGGAACATCTCTGGCGCCACTTTTCAATAGCATGTGCTCATTTTGTGTCTCTTGCCATGTTTTGGTAGTTCTCACAATGTTTCAAGCTGTTTCATTATTATTACATCAGGCCAGGTGCAGTGGCTCACACCTATAATCCTAACACCTTGGGAGGCCAAAGCAGGAGTTCAAGACCAGCCTGGCCAACATGGTGAAAACCCATGTCTACCAAAAATTTAAAAAATCAGCTGGGGGTGGTGTCACATGTCCATAATCCCAGCTACTTGGGAGGCTAAGGCAAGAGAATCGCCTGAACCTGGGAGGTGGAGGTCGCAGTGAGCTGAGATTGTGCCACTGTACTCCAG